ACTCTTAAATACAGAGAACAAACTGAGGGTTGTTGGAGGGGTGGGTGGTGGGTGGTGGGCTAAATTGATAAGGGGAATTAAGGAAGATACTTGTTGGGATAAGCACTGGGTGATATACACAGGGGATGAATCACTGGAATCTACTCCTGAAATCATTATTGCACTATATGTTAACTAACTTGGATGTAAATTAAAACATAAATAATTTTTAAAAAATCTATCTAAACCCACCTATAAAAATAAATTACAGAGGAATTAAAAGATGTATAGATAAAAAGCAAAACAATAAAAGTAGTAGAAAAATTGGTAAGGTGTTAATGACCTTGAGGACAGGAAATCTTATTAGATTTTTAGGGATGCCATAACATATTACCACAAACTGCATTGTTTAAAACAACAGAAATTTATTCTCTCACATTCTGAAAGCCCAAAGTTCAATATCATGGTGTCAGTAAGGTTGGTTCTTCCCTAGCTTCTTGTGCTTGCTGGCAATCCTTGGCATTCCTTAGCTTTTGATGCATCACTTCCATCTCTGGCTCTGTCTTCACATTGCTTCTGTCTATGCATCTTTTCCTTTTCTTATAAGGACACTTGTCATTGGATTTAGGAGCTAGTAGGAAATCCAGCAGGATCTCATCTCCAGAACCTTAATTACATCTGTAAAGGCCCTTTTTGCAAATAAAGCCACATCCACAAGTTCTGGGTAGACATACCTTTTGGGGAGTCACCATTCAACCTACTGTAAAGGCCTTCTAAAATAAGACAAAAACAAAGAGACTCATAAATTTGACTTAATTAAAATAAAAACTATATGAAAAGAAAACACCATAAAAATTCAATCAGACAAACTACATATAGGAAACCCAGTACAATATCTCTTTTACATTTCTTTTTTTAAAAAAGCTAAAATGCAGAATACCTATATTTTTTAAATTCCTGTAAGTCAATAAGAAAAACAGCCCAATAGAGAAATGACTAAGCACACCAATAGTAACCAGAAGAAATAAACTATCTAAACATAATAAAATATAAATAAAATTAAACATAAAAAGATGCTCAGTGACATTAGTTCTCAGGTATATGAAACTTAAAGTAAGATACCATTTTGTGCCCATTAGACTGCTCAGAATCAAAGTCAACTAATATCAAGTACTGGTAAGAATGGGGAAAGTGGAGACTCCTATACTATAAGTTGGTACAGATAATTTAAATTGATGTTTGGGGAGTGCTTGGCTGACTCAGTTGGTTAAGCATCTGACTCTTGGTTTCAGCTCAGGTCATGATCTTGACGTTTGTGGGTTCAAGCATTGCATCAGGCTCTGTACTGACAGCTCAGAGCCTGGAGCCTGCTTCAGATTCTGTGTCTCACTCTCTCTCTCTCTACCCCTCTCCTCTCCTGTTCTCTCTCTCTCTCTCTCACTGACTCTCACTCTCTTTCTCTCTCTCAAAAATGAACATTTAAAAATAAATAAATAAAACGGCTTTTTGGTTATTTCAAAAATTTAAATGCCTATTTCCAAAACACCTGTATGCATTCACAAGAAGACATATATGTATATTCCCTGAAGTACTGTATTCAAGAATTCAAACCTGGAAACTAACTGTGTAAATGCTCATCAATATGCCTACATAAACCATGATGCATGACAACATGACTAGATCTCCATGACATAACTTTGGATGAATAGGGCAATCTGCACAACAGTAGGTTGAGTATAATATTGCTTATATTCAAAGAATACACAGAAAACAACAAAATCTTATATGCATTTCTACATATACATGTTAATCCATAGGAAAGATAGAAACTAATCTGACAACAGTGGTTGCCTTTTGGAAGAGAGATAGAGGAATCTGTGATTATGGGTGATAAACACAAGGAACTTTAACCTTATCTGCAATGTTTTAACTTTTTAAATGAAGAATGTGTTTATATATTACTTATACAATATTATTAAAAATTTCAAGAGAGTTAATGGGAAATGATGGAAAGGAGATAGGGTATGGACTTTTTCTATCAAGAAATTTAATAGTAAAAGATTTATTATTAATTAATAATAAGAGAATAGCTAAGCAAACTGGAGGACATGTACTATAGGAAGGATTAGTGCCTGCATTAACATAAAATGTAAACCATGGAAATATTTATAAAGTGTGAAGGCTTAAAAATTTTGGATTTTGGAAGATTAGTACAATGAAAGCTTCCAGGTAATATAAGGGACCAACAATAAAATATTCCTAGGAAGTTGGAAATAAAATTTTTAAATGTTTATTTATTTTGAAAGGGAGAGACGGAGAGTGGAAGAGAGCACAGGCAGGGGAAGGGCAGAGAGAGAGGGAGACAGAATCCCAAGCAGGACCTGCACTGTCAGCATAGAGCCCAATGCGAGTCTCGATCTCATGAACCATGAGTCAGATGCTTAGCCAACTGAGGCCTCAGGTACTCCAGGAAATAAAATTTTATTTGAGAGTTAAATTATAAAATTAATACACATTGAATCAAATGGAGGAATCACCTTCAAGAAACATAATGGCTTCAAGAGTGGTAAGTCTTGGCTATAACTTGATTGATAACTTTGACATATCTAAACAATGTGTTATTGAGCCATGGAAGCATAGAAAAAGGGGAGTCAGTGAAGCCAACACAGAGCAGACCTGATAATTACTTAGTCTTCCTGTGCCCTAGTTTCTCCATCTCTATGATGGGATTAATAATAGTACTTACTTCATATAGCTATTATATAATACAAAATAGCACTTGGAAAAGAGTATGGCATATACATTATTTAAGGGAAGGAATCTGGTGATGAGGCCAAAATAAACGGTCACAGTTCCATTTCTCATTCCGGTTTTCATACATCAGTCTCATAAGGTAATCAGCATGAGTCAGCCTCCTGAGTCTGACCAGTTCTGGGACACTGAGGAGATCAAGTTTCAAAGACTGAGTGACTGAATACCCAGCCTGCACTGAGGTTGAAAGCACCAAGGTAATGCCATCGAGTAAGGCCTCTTGTTAGCCAGCCTGTCAGTTACCTTTCTTGGTGACACCCCACCTTTGGTATTCCTAATCTATTTATACTTCTAAATAATTTAGGGTGGGGTAGGCCCCATGCAGAAGAACTAAAACAAACAAACAAACAGAAAATTACACTAAATTATTAATAGGTGGTTGTGTGTGTGAAGGACTTATGGGTGATTTGCTTTACTTTTCTATACTTTTCAAGTTTTCTTTGGTGAGCACCTATTATTTCAGTATTCTTTAAAACGTTTTTTTTATTTATTTCTGAGAGAGAGAGAGAGCGAGCGTGAGCAGGGGAGGGTCAGAGAGAGAGGGAGATACAGAATCTGAAGCAGACTCCAGGCTCTGAGCTAGCTGTCAGCACAGAGCCCGACGCGGGGCTCGAACCCACGAACTGTAAGATCATGACCTGAGCCGAAGTCGGACGCTCAACCGACTGAGCCACCCGGGCGCCCCTATTTCAGTATCTTTAAAAAGATTTTTAAATGAAGAAAAAGAGAGGGAAGGGGCTTGAAGGGGAGAAACACAGAGACAAGGCTTCTTAGGCTATAGGCTGAAAGGAAGATGTCAGGGATTGGGGGCAGTGCAGGGAGGGTCAAGCACTCTTTCCGCCAAAATGAAGTAGCTTTCCCTGGAAAGACTTTTTCTCCCTCTGAGCACTTGGGCCTTGAAGTGGCTTGTTATTTGCCAGTCCTGGCATTTGCGTAGCTAGTGACGACTGCAATGGAAACTATTTGCTTGAGAATAATACTAAGTGTACCACTTCCCCTAACTGTATCACCGACTGGCTGTTGAAACTGAAAGTTCCAGGTCTGAGTTCTTGAGCATTTTCTCATTCTTCATCATTAACATTAACAAATATTTGCTAATTACCTCCGTCTGCCGGACTTGAGGTTAACTTGGACAGAGGTGAGGGGGTGTTGAAACGGAGGGAAGTTACGAGGGAATACACTAAATTTAGAGAAATAAAAATATAAATGAAAATGAATTTAGAGAAATAAAAAGATAAATGACACTGAAAAATCATTGTAGTCTGGGGTAGCTAGGGAAGGCTTCAAATCACAGATTCTCCGGGTTGGATTTGAAAGGTCAATCAGTCTAACTCTCTTACCCTGAGAGTTAGAGAGCAGTTTGGTCCTTAAGCCGAACTTTGAAAAGCGAGTGCAGGCTTTGCATAAGCAGAGATCAAACATTGGGGTTGAGGGCAGCAAACGGAGGGAGTAATAGCCCCAGGGGGGCCACCCAGCGGGGTGCGGGCTGATTACCCTGTGGCAAACGGTCAGGGTTACCTGCAGGCTTCTTTTCTATTTTCCCTTTAGCCCCTTTATTTTCAGCTGAGTCTTTAGTGCCTCAGCCTCGTGACCTACATGCGCAGGAGGAAGCCTTCCAAGGCAGTTACACAAGCTCCTCTAGTTCCTCTCTGGCCAAGGCGGTCCTGTGGCACTGCTCTCTCCCAGCGCGCCCCGCCCCCCTCCTTCCCGGGCCTGGCTTTTCACCAGTTGCTAAGGAATAAAGTACCTTAGGGAGTTCTTCTTTGTTTGGTTTGGGTCAAAGTGAGGAGTTCAAGCTGTTCTTTTAGTCAAAAGTACAAAATACAATAAAACCCTAGAGATTCCGATTCTTTAGACCCTTAACGCCAGTGTGCGTCTTGCCTCTTAGGTCAGAAGTTCCCATCGGTTCCCAAAACCAGGCTGGCAGAATAAACAGCCTCCTCAATATCCTGTGTGCACGGCAAGTGTAGAACACTTAAATAGTGATGGGAAGCGTTTCGAAAATAAACCTCTGAAAGCATATTGCCTACGGTGACACATTCTTGACCGCGGAACGCGCGGGGGTGCTGGGGCCCCCGCACGGGCGGGGCGGATGAGGCGAACTCATAGGACTTAGCGCGCAGCTGCCAGGACCCGCGCCGCCCGCCCCGCCTCCAGCTAGCGTCTCCCGCAAGGTGGAGGCGACGCAGCTGCCGGTGACCTGCTGCCGCCCGCCGCGCTGGAGGCTCTGGGCCGCGGCCGCCTCCGGGGATCGGGTGGGCGATGGGGGAGGCTAGACGGGAGTAAGGGTGAAAGCGAGTGGCGCCGGGGGAGCTGCGGCGGGGCTCTAGACCACGGGCGTCTCGGGCACTTGCTGGCGTGTGTTGGGGTTCCAAAGGCCTCTGGCGCGTGGACTGCCGGCTCCAGGCCTGAGCGGTGGGAGGGCTCTGCTGGGGCCTGGCATTTGGCCTTCCCCCCTCGCCCGGGAGGGTGGAGCTGCATTGGAGCCTCCTAACTTGGAGGACCGAGGGCCCCTGTAGCACTCAGGCAGTTTCTCTTGAGGGGATTGGAAACGTGGCGCGATGAGGAGCCGAAGTAACTCTGGGGTCCGACTGGATGGCTACGCTCGGCTTGTGCATCAGACCATCCTGTGCCATCAGGTAAGTGAAGGGGTGCCTGTAATCACCGAGGGTGTGCAGTGTGATGGCCTAGACAGGGACTGCTGGGTGACACCCACCCCTGGTGTGTGTGAGTTTGTGTGTGTGTGTGTAGAAGTTTCTCTCGCACCTTAGCTGGGGAAGCCGTAGAGAACGCTGAAGAAAAGATGGGTGTTGGGCCAAGAACAGAACTAGCATCAAGCACCTTTAGCCGTGAGCCCTGAGCCTTGGCTTCTAAGCGTTCCCCCTCCCTCCATCCCTGAAGCCACAGTGGGGTGTCAGGGGCACAGCTGAAAAATGTGTTGAAGCTTGTTTATTGACACCTCCCTCCCTTGCCTCAGGTTTGGGGGTCATCTTCTTGCCCTCCAGCCAAAGAAACGAAGTAGGGGAACATTTAGCCATCTTAAGACTAGACCGTTATGAAGATTTGAGATACCTTGTATACACTGTTAATTATATATTTTTTTCTAGTCCTATAATGCTGGGTTTTCATTGATAGTTTATTCTTTCTAACTGGAAAGTTAAAACAGTGCCTCTCTTTTAACAGAGGCATCAGCCGGCATTTCCACCTTATCCAAGATAGCATTTGCTTGCACTTGGTCAGAAGAGGTTACAAAACTAAAGAGTGGTGAAGTAGAAGAAAGACCAAAGTCCCTCAGTAACCCATTTGATAGATTTGGTCTCCTCATGTTAACACCTTATAGTTACCTGCCTGTCCTATTTTTCTTGGTCTTGCAGAATCCAGTGACTGGCTTGCTTCCAGCCAGCTATGATCAGAAAGATGCCTGGGTCCGAGATAATGTATACAGTATCTTGGCTGTGTGGGGTTTGGGCCTGGCCTATCGGAAGAATGCAGACCGGGATGAGGACAAGGCAAAGGCCTATGAACTGGAGCAGGTACTCAGAATAAATATACAAAGCGATCTGGAGCTGTGTGTGGTAGTAGGGCTGGGAGGTGGAATGGGGAGCGGGGATTTAAGGAAATGTAGCTCAAAGGAGCTAAAAGAACCATATTTTGCCTTTCTCCCTCTTTATTCACCGTCTTGAAATTACATTCCAGAAAGCTTTCCTGTATTGTACTGATTGTGTGTGTGTGTGTGTGTGTGTGTGTGTGTGTGTGTGTGTACTGGAAACTTGAAACTTGCTGATTCAGGGGGAGAGGGCACAGTCTGTTCTGTTATAATGGAAAAGCCTCTCATGGGATCTTTGCTGAAATTTATAATCCTCTTTCTAAGGAAAGGTATTTTGCAGTCTCCAGCATATTTATTCTCATTGAGAAGAATGTTCAGGGCATGTTATCTATCATTTTACTTCATTTTTGAAAATTATAGGTGATATTTGTTTGTTGTTGTTTCTTTTGCAAATGGTTATTTAAATTATGGTTAGTTAACATACAGTGCAATATTGATTTCAGGAGTAGAATTCAGTGATTCATCACTTACATATAGCACCCAGTGCTCATCAATGGGTGATAACTGTATGAGGGTAACTGACAAAAATTAGGAGACCTTCACAACTAGATACAAGTAAATACTTTATTTGTCGAATTTTATACCTATGAGCACTGTTTCAGAGCCTGTCCCTCTCCCTTAGCAAAATAAGGTCAGAATCAGCAGATGCCTTTAAGCCAACTTTTAAGGGCCTTCCTGTCAGTAAAGTAGCACCCTTTATAGAACTGTTTAGACAGAGGGTGCTCTGTTCTCTTGAATAACCAAGAAAGTGATATTCTGGGCTACATGGGTCTCTTAATGTTGTGATACTCTGCTGTCAATTGTAAGGTACATGTGAATTATTTTCCACTAGTGGAGAAGATTCTACACTAGCCATCTGCTCAAATGGTATCTCTCAGACTTAGGTAATCTGAACTCTAGTCTTCATCTGTAAATCAGAATATTGAGACTTGGTTATTTTTTTTTTTTTGAGAGAGAGCACAAGCGGGGGGGAGGGGGGCAGAGAGAGAGAGGGACAGAGGATCTGAAGCAGGCTTTCCTCTGACAGCAGCAGTGAGCCCCATGTGGGGCTTAAACTCTGGAATCGCTAGATCATGACCTGAGGTGAAGTCAGATGCTCAACCAACTGAGCCACCCAGGTGCCCCAAGACTTGGCTATTTTTTAGCGGCATCAACATGTTGCAGGGTTGCAGTCCTTGGCAATAGGGAAGTTTCACCATTTTGTCCTCTGCAACAGTAAGCATTCCTTCAAGCCACTTATTGGGAGGGACTTAAGTCCATCAGAAAAAAATTGTTGGAGTTTTTGCTCTCACTCAGGAAGTACAGATCAGTATTTTTATGGCTTATAAAAATAATACATAACCATTGTAAGAATTTGGAAAATATGGAGGAGTATTTTAAAAAATCCTGTAATTCTGTTCCTCCCTCCACCCCTGAAATTCTGCATCCTACTATAATGTTTGGCTGTTTTGAGCTCAGTATTTTGTTTGTTTTGCTAGATATTAAATTCAGTGGAATGATATCCAAGATTCCATACCTAGTACAATTTGACCATTTTTTTTCAAAACTGTTAGAAGAAATCTGTTGTCTCCTTATTGACTAATCATTCTACAAAGTTAAAATTTTTCCTTCTGTAGTCCGGGAAGAAAGAATTTAACAGAAGAAGGGGGAAAATTTAAGGAAACACTGAGTTGTTTTCTTTAAAATTTTAATGTTTCATTAAATAATTTTTAACAGAACCCCAAAATATTTTCCATAATACCTCATTAATAACATTGAAGCATCTTCAGAAAAGGAACATTTCTCTGGGAATCCTAAAATTTCTGTGAACTTGCATTGTGAATTAAAACAGATTTTATTATTAGGTCTCATTAACTTTTCTCAAACCTGACTCAGTTAATTCAGACCAGGGGTCAGAAAATCATCTCTGTGAAGGGCCAGATAGTAAATATTTTTGGCATTGTGGATCATGTATGATCTCTGCCCAACTACTCAGCACTTAAGTTGTTGCACAAAAGCAGCCAGAGATAAGCTGTATTTACAAAACAGGTGGTGAGCTACATTTGTCCCTAATTTACTCTGACTGTACATTGGAATCATTTGGGAAGCTTTTAAGAAATACCTTTACTTGACCCCACCCTAGAACAATTTAGATAAATCTCTGGAAGTGGAGCCCTGGGGCATTAATTTTTTTAGTCTTTTTATTTATTTATTTATTTAAATTCAAGTTAGTTAACATACAGTGCAGTCTTGGATTCAGGAGTAGAACCCAGTGATTCATTTCTTACATATGACACACAGTGCTCATCCCAAAAAATGCCCTCCTTAATGCCCATCACCCATTTAGCCCTTCCCCCTACCTACCTCCCCTCCAGCAGCCCTCAGTTTTAAAAAACTGATTCTAAAGTGCAACTAGGGATAATAACTACTGATTTACGGCCAGTAAATGAGTATAGATTAAATTCAGTAAATCCAGATATGAAATTCCCACCTACTGTCAACTTTCCATTACTGTGTGGATTTTCCTAAACCGATTGTTAATAATTTTTACTCTTCCTTCCAACTCTCACATTGGTTTCTCTCTGCGAAATAATGTCAGAGAACTAAAGAGAATTAGGAGACAAGGGTTTAGGTGATTATTCTATCTTAGAGTGAGAATATAATTATGCACATAGATGTTTTTACAAATGCCCTTTCCTCTTAGTCACATGGATAAAGACACACACCCATAAAAATGAATAGGCACACAAATAGAGATAGCTCTTTGGATGCCTCCAGTTCTGCTTCTTCCTCAGTTTTTGTTCTCTTTGTGTAGTCTCTTACCTTTTTGCATGAGTTTAACTATTACCTTTATATGAATGACTTCCAGAACTTCATCTTTAGCTCTGGTCTCACTTCAGTTTCAAACCCTTATTTTCATTGTCTTCTGCTCAGTAGTACCTACATATCCTATGTCTTCTTAAACTCAGGGTGTCTGAAGCTCCATGTTCCCTACCAAAAACAAACAGAAGAGATTACCAGGTCACCTGGGTGGCTCAGTCAGTTAAGCATCTGATTCTTGGTTTAGGCTCAGGTCATGATCTCACGAGTCCCGTGTGATCGAGCCCTGCATGGGGCTCTGCACTGACAAGGCGGAACCTACTTGGGGTTCTCTCTCTCCTCTCTCTCTGCCTCTCCCCCGATCACTCTCTCTCTCAAAATAAATAATTTAAAAAAAAGAGATTACCAAACAATAGCAACTCTGCAGACATCCCTTATTCTCTTATTGGTGTCCTCATTCTACCAGTCACCTGAGCAACATTATTTAGAGAATTTCCCAAAGTGTATTGCATGGAACATTAGGTCAACTAAACTTGGATATGTGTATGTGTTAAACAATAGATCTCTTTACTCCATTATTTCTCTGAGCCTTTGATGTACTAATGTGCGTTTGGAATGTAAAGTGAGGGTGGGGTTTACAGCCTTTCCAGAATTTCTTGGACTAGTGTTCTATAAAACAGTGTTTGAAAAGTGCTGCCATTAGGGTGATTTCTGACTTGCCCTTCTACCTTTTGATACATGCAGACCAAAGTCTGTTGATTCGTATAATTTTTTTTTAATCCGTCTCTTCCTTTCTGTTCCCTTCTGCCTCAACCATAGTCTAAACCTTGATCACAACATCACAACACTGTTATGAAAAACACATTTTAATTATATCATTTGCATTCTCAGCAATGTTTCTGTGGCTCATTTCCCTACAAGTAAAATCCATATGTTTTGATTGATAGACAAGACTCTCTAGGGCTTGGTCCTAGCCTGCTTTTTCAAAATTGTATCATTTTGGTGTTTTGCATTATCCACTCCCAGTTCTAATCAAATTGGTGTCTTCAGTATTCCTCTAAAAACAGTCCCTTAATAAAAATACCTGACAATTGTGTAAATACTTTTTATTGTACCATGTATTTTCCCATAGTTATTAGTATGTTATTCTCACAACACCCTGTGAATTAGGTATTATCTTCCCCATTTATAAGTGAAGGGATTGAAGCTTGGAGATGAAGCTGGAATTTGGTGGTGCAGTGAATACAACCTGGATCTCATGACTTCAGATTAAGTCTTTTTGAATTTTTCCTCCATGGAAGCCATGGACATTCTTACCTCCAAATATATTGACAAATTGTTTCTTCCACCCATGATGCCTGTTTTCTTCCAATCTGAACTGATACTCTCCATTCAAGGCCCAGCACCAGTCTCACTTTTTCTGTGGTTTCTGTCCTCATAAAACCATTCAGTTTTACAATGATCACTTCCTTCTCAGGTCTACTTTCTTGAAACTTCTAGATCACTTACTCAACATGTTCAGTTTTTCATTTAGCAGACTTTGTGTAATGGACATGTGCCAGGCCCTGTACTAGATATAAAAAAAAATAGGACAAAATGTTTATATTTAGCTCTCAACTTCTTATTTAAAAATTTTTTAATTTATAAAAAGTTATAAGAATAGTAAAATGAGCATATTTGCATATACTCTTTATCTAGATTCACTATATTGTTAATATTTTGTCTTCTTTACATCCTCCCTCTCTCAAAATGCATGCATGCGTGCACACACATGCACACACCTATGATTTTTTTGATGAGCCATTTAGGAATTACTTGCAAACATGGAATATATAGTTTTAAAAATAAAGCCTACTCAGTCCATTGACTTAAACATTTATTTCTAAACCTGGTCTCTGTCCCTTTTTCTTAAGAAGTTCATAGTCTAATGAGGGATACAGATATATAGACAAATAGTTAAATAATACATTAGGACAGATATTGTAGCTACTATATTTATAGGAGATACAGTACAAAGTTCTGTGGGACACAGAGGCAGGAATGTCTGTCTTTATCTTGAACAAAGCAAGGAAGGATTCACAGAGAATTTAGATTTTAAGGGATAACTAGTAGTTGTTAGATAGACTATGTTTGTAGCTTAGGTTTTTTTTTTTTTTAATGTATGTGTTCTGTCTCCCTTATGTTCCACAAAGCCTGATAGAGTGTTTTGCATACTTTACATGCCCAACAAACATCTGATTGTACATATACCTGAAGAGAGAGAGATTAATACTTACATAGAAATAGTTGCACATAGTTATATATTCTTATTTAGTCAATTTACAAATACAGTAAAACCTTGGTTTGCAAGAATAACTTGTTCCAGAAACATGCTTTTAATCCAAAGCACTTGTATATTAAAGCAAATTTCCCCATAAAAAATAATGAAAACTCAGATGATTCATTCTACAACCCAAAAAATATTCATATAAATATGATTATAATACTGTAATATCATACAAAATAATAAAGAAAATATAAAATATAAAGAAAAAATAAATTAACCTGCACTTACCTTTGAAAACCTTCGTGGCTGGTATGAGGGAGACGAGAGAGGAGGGTTGTTATGGATATGGATAGGATGACTTTCACTATCACTAATGGAATCACTGCTATCTATTGGCTCAATGGAATCTTTTTCGTTTTGTGCAACTTCAACAAGGAACCTATCTAATGACACTTGATTTTGCCTCCTTTTGAGGATTTCACAGAAATGTGACATTGCATTGATGATCACCCACAATCCCAGAGTGAGAGGGAGAGGAAGAGGGAGAAGGAGAGGGAGGAGGAGAGCAAGAGTGAGAGCGAGAGTGAGAGCAAGAGTGAGAAAGAGAGAGAACCATTGGCTCAGTTGTGATTACGTGACATTTGGTGTCACATACTACTTGTATTGCAAGACATCACTGGTTTATCAAGATGAGATTTGTTAGGGATCATTGTTCATCTTGTGGAACACTCACAGAACTCAAAATCCACAGTTTTACTGTATATAGATCCATGTCCTCAAAAAGAGTAGGTAAGAAGAGGGTGTCATTTGATGAGGTTAGAAGCTCTAGTGTGTGAATAAACATGTCTAATTAATGCTAACTACATCACTGAAACCGAAAATGGCCAGTTTAGAGGAACACAAAGTACAAATACCTCCCCTCATTCCTACCTCCCCATATTTTCTATTAATTGTATCCTGGCTTGGAAGTTGGAATTTGAGGACAGAAATGACAGTCAATGACCGTTCCAGGAAGACCCAAGTGGAATCAGGAATTCTCCACGGGATCCATGATTCCCAGGTTTGCTGTTTAAATTAAAGAAAATGTAGACAGCGGTAGCAAGGCTTGATGGTCAAGAAAGTTGAAAGACTGTGATAGAAACCTGTGAGGATGTGGTGACATGTAGAAGATAGTTCAGATGCTTTCTGTAACAGGGTATATTAAAAGGATGGTCTCTTTCATTAGGGTCAAAGTAATGATAGAGATTTTCTTATAGGGGTAAGAAGCCAGTTTTATTAGTTCATAATAAATGCTTCATGCTTTAAAAGATGAGGAGATCTGGGGCACCCGAGTGGCTCAGTCAGTTAAGCATCTGACTGTATTTCAGCTCAGGTCATGATTTCATAGTCATGAGATTGAGCCTCTCATCAGGCTCTGCTGGGCGTGAAGCCTGGTTGGGATTCTCTCTCTCTGCCCCTCCCCTGCTCTCAAAATGAATAAATAAACATTAAAAAAGAAGTAAATTTTTAAAAAATAAAAGGTGATGAGATCATATACTGCCTGATTGTACACATGCACATATATATGTATATATAATTTTTTAATTTTTAAATGTTTTTATTTATAATTGAGAGACAGAGCATGAGCATGGGAGTGGCAGAGAGAGGGAGACACAGAATCTGAAGGAGGCTCCAGGTTCTGAGCTGTCAACACAGAGCCCAACACAGGGCTCGAACTTACAAACCGCAAGATCATGACCTGAGCTGAAGTTGGACACTTAACCAACTGAGCCACCCAGGCACCCTTTTAATTTCTTACCTTGATCTGTAAGGGGAGGGTACCATTTATAGACAGCAATTAGTTAACAAAGGGAACTCTCCCAAGGATAATACTTTTTACTCTTTCTCAATAAAAGACTGCATAAAGAGTTGGAGCATAACTTAACAGGTACTTATCCATACCATGCCTATTGCTCATAGTCCCACTTCAGTGTTTTGAAAGAATAACAGAATGCTGTGGCTTCTAAGTAGATTAATTTTCAGAGATGTCCTGAAGCCACCTCTGTGCTAGCATTCCCTGGAGTAACCTAGTTATATTTCTTTTGGACTGTGAAACAGAAAGCTTAAAGAAATGGAGAAGCCATGTATTTGTGGGTCCATTTCTGGGTTCTCTAATCTATTCCATTGATCTGTGTATCTATTTTTGTGCCAATACCATACTGCCTTGATGAGTACAGCTTTGGTTTTCTTTTTCAACATGACTTTGGCTATTCAGGATCTTTTCTGGTTCCATACACATTTTAGGATTGTTTGTTCTAGCTCTGTGAAGAATGCTGGTGGTATTTTGATAGGGATTACATTAAATCTGTAGATTGCTTTGGGTAGCATAGACATTTTAACAATATTTGTTCTTCCAATCCATGAGAATGGACTGTTTTTCCATTTTATTTTGTGTCATCTTCAATGTCTTTCATAAGCTTTCTATAGTTTTCAGTGTACAGATCTTTTACCGCTTTGGTTAGGTATGTTAACTAACTTGAATTTAAATTAAAAAAATAAAAAATAAAAATGAAAAAAGAAATGGAGAAGCTGTTTGACGCTATGTTTTCTAAAACATTGCCTACCCATGCTACTGTCGATGGGCTCTACTAGTGTCATGTAGTATAACTAATATAGTATAGTATATATATAATAGTATATAGTATAGTATATTATTATAATAAAATATAATTATTATTACTATATTATATCATACTAACCAGTACAGTATATATAGATTGTGATCAGAATTTTGGAATGTTATGATTGGAAAGCTAATTAATTTAGAAACTGCAACCCTAGGAGTACCCTGGGTGGCTCAGTCAGTTAAGCATCTGACTCTTGATTCCAGCTCAGACCAAGATCTCACAGTTCATGAGTTCAAGCCCCACATTGCGCTCCGTGCTGAGAGCATGGAGCCTGCTTGTAGTTCTGTCTCCCTCTCTCTCTTTGCCTCTCCCCTGCTCACTATCTAACTCTCTCTCAAAAATAAAGAAACATTAAAAAAAAAGAAACTGCCAAGCCCTAGTAAGAGAAAGAGTGATGACTGGAGACTTAAGAAGACTGGCTTTTTTTTTCTTTCATGTAAATGAGGTTGAGTTACACTAACAGATCCCCTTTCTACTTATTCTGAGTTGAAATTCATTTACTCTTTAGGGAAAATGTACAGATAAATATTTCTGTGAACTCCTGAAGGTAAGTCGGGGCTACTTTAGAAAAAATAAAAGTGATGCTGTTGGCTTTTCTAGGCCCTAGGAACTATTTTAGAATACCCTCATAGCTTTAGGAGTTTAGAGCTGACTTGCCTCTTTTCTCTGGGTGGAATGTCCTCTAATAGGATGGTTGGCTTGGTTTTACATAAGCCTGTTGGAGCTGGGATACTTTTTTTTTACTTGAGGGAGGCAGCAACTGCAGCTTTTGATTCCACTTTTAGCTGCAATTTAGCTCTTCTGTGTACCTATAAAGTAAATGCCATGTAAATAGGAGCCCAGGATAGGGTTACTCGTTTTCAAAAGGTCATGTACCAACTGCAATTGCTGAGTAAGTGTTCCTGCATCTAGGGATGTTTATAACAGTCTTGTTTCCATTTATTTCTGCAGAGTGTAGTGAAGCTGATGAGGGGACTGCTGCAGTGCATGATCCGACAGGTATGGCATCGGTACCAGCTCCCTCAGGAATAGAAGCACATTGTAATACTGTCTCTACCCTTTAGGGAATATTTGCATTGTATATTATTTCAACTTCCCCAAAAGCGGACACTAAGTTTAGAAAATTTGTAGTTCGAGGAGTGAACTGTCACCTGTGGTCTCACCACCCAGTTACCACTAGCATGTTTCATTTCAGTCTGTTTCTCCCCTCTACAAATGGCTCTTTACTATACTTCATCACTGCTGTACATGCAATTCTGGACATTGAGTAAAGAGGACACAGGCCTCCAAGCCCTCATTTGAAACCCTTGGTTCCAGATAAATTTTAGAATTCAGACGTTTTCAGATTTTTCAGTCCAGTGCATGTGCTATATATTATGTTATGCTCTCAGAAGGTCCAGAACAGTATTGGATTATCAAAAATGTTAATTTCTCTGTAGCAAGCATTTCCATACTGAGTGGAACAAATAAAAACTACAAATAGCCCCCATGTCAATCTCAGTCAGGTGTTGCTACCAAATGAATTTTGGTACAAAAGTTAGAGGAAAAACCTCTTGACAGTATTGTAGATTTTAGGATTGGAGATAAGTTCCTAGGATTTATATCTCCTTGCACTAATTTGCATTTTCCTGACCTTGAATGAAGCTGGGCATCCTTTTTTTTTTTAAATAGTTTATAGTCAAGTTGGTTTCCATATAACACCCAGTGCTCATCCCCACAAGTGCCCTCCTCCATGGAAGCTGGGCATCCTTCCCAGTATTAATTGGAAATTTGCATTTTCTCTTTTAATTGCCTATTAGATCCTTTGCCTGTTTTTCAGCTATTTCTTTCTTGACTATTTGAGGAGTTCCTGTACATTATGGAAATTAATATTTTGTCACATATACTGCTAATATTTCTTAGCAGTGTGTGGTTTTTCTTTTGGATTTATGAATGTTTTTAATCAAAAATACTTTACAAAAATAGTGTTTTACTTTTATCCTACCTAGGAGATATTTACACACGTTGCACACATTGAATCTAAATTGATTTTTTTTAGCATATAGCATTTTATTTTTATTTATTTATTTTTTTACAAATAGTTTATTGTCAGATTAGTTTCCACATAACACCCAGTGCTCATCCCCACAAGTGCCCTCCTCCATGCCCATCTCCCCTCACCCCACATCCATCAGTCCTCAGTTATTGTCAGCATTCAAGAGTCTCTCATGGTTTGCCTCTCTCCCTTTCCCCCACCATTTCCCCCCTTCTTCTTCCCCTTGTTCCTCAGTTAAGTTCCTCCTAATCCTCCTATACGTGCAAACATATGATATTTGTCCTTCTCTGCCTGACTTATTTCGCTCAGCATAACACCCTCAGGGTCCATCCATGTTGCTACACATGGCCACATTTCATTGTTTCTCATTGCCATGTAGTATTCCATGGTATAGATAAACCACACTCCTCATCAGGGAAATACAAATCAAAACCACACTGAGATACCACCTGACGCCAGTCAGAGTGGCTAAAATGAGCAAATCCGAGAACTCTAGATGCTGGCGAGGATGTGGAGAAATGGGCACCCTCCTACACTGTTGGTGGGAATGTAAACTGGTACAGCCCCTCTGGAAAACAGTGTGGAGATTCCTCAGGAAAATAACAATAGAACTCCCCTATGACCCAGTAATAGCACTGCTAGGAATTTACCCAAGGGATAAACTGATTTTCTTAAGACCAAGATTACATTTTATTAGAAGAAGCAAGCAAGGTCCAGATTAATATAGTGACTATCTACCAGCACACAAGTCTAAAGTGGAAATAAAAATAAATCGGTTCCAGACTTCTGAACTTCTTTATCCATGCTCTCTCCATTGGGGTGTCTCATAGCCATCATTTCTCTTTTCCCCTTCTTTGCTACTTTTTTTTTTGTTATTTTAGATATTTGTATTTTCTACCTTACCAAATAGGTTTAAAGACACTAACTTCATGAACCATATTTAAAGGTATAATCTTTATTGTCATATATCAGATGCCCATATAATCAAATCTGTGTTTCAGGAACTAAGTTGTCCAGTTGTCCCTTACAAGGTGTTTCCTTTCTAACCTCTGGTTTCAGCTTTCTTTCATGTGTTTACTCTGTCACTCCATGTATCTATCTCCCACTCTTTTCATTACTCCTTCAAAATATATCCCCTTGTCCAAATTTCCCTCAAAACTCCTACCTCTGTTTCAGGAACAAATGCATCTTTTTTACAACTCAATTATCTCTCATTAGACTGTTTTCACTCAACCACTGGCATCTCAGTTTATGTCTACAATGTGACGAAACAGCCATCTAAAAACTAAAAGAGAGGTAATGAGCAGGAAATAGCTGGTTTTAAGTGGTATTATTTTATAATTTAATTGTTTAACTTAAAAGAAAAACAGAATCAGCAGACTTTTCTAGTTGTGGCACTGTCAGGAAAAAGAGGTTACTGCATATTTTAAATATCCACAATTGCCTGAAAACCAAATGCACTGATATATGTGAGAGTACTACAGAAGTGTGGCATATGGAATGACTTTCCTGCATAGCCTTCTTTCACTGTTCTTGTTTTCTTCAGGTGGATAAAGTAGAATCCTTCAAGTATAGTCAGAGTACCAGGGATAGCCTCCATGCCAAGTACAATACCAAAACCTGTGGCACCGTAGTGGGTGATGACCAGTGGGGACACCTGCAGTTGGATGCTACCTCCGTGTACCTGCTCTTCTTAGCACAAATGACTGCCTCAGGTTAGTACCAGGACAGAATTACCGGGAGCTGCTGCTGGTGGAGCACTGGCTCTGGCGCATGTGGCTTCTCCAAAGGTGTTGTTGACCAGAAAATAACATAGCTGTTCACATTGCTCAAAGATACACAGTGGGAAAATACTATTTTGCGAATTTTATACAGAGAAACAACTCTTTGAGGTCTAGTTAGTATGCTTTTCCATTGAAAAACAAGTCTGGGGTACAAATTAATTTTTTTAATTGAGAACTAGGAAATCTGGGGTAGATTTTCTTTAGATGGGTATTTTTATCTTTTATCAATCCTCAGATACCATGAGATGGGAAAGAAGGGCTACAGTTTATTGCTTCTAGTGTTCTTCACTGAACAGCCTACAATCAAATATTAACATAAATTGAACCACTTACTTTATATTACTCTATGTAAATATGATAAACAAGGCATCTATCTTAAGACATCTAAATTATCTTAAGGGAATTAATTTAGGAATCAGAATTCAAGTATTTATTTTTATTATTGAATAATATACCCTTTTCAGATGGTTTTGTTATTAGCATTAGATGTTTCACCTGAAAAAGGAAAATGTAATAACCAACATAATTCCCTTTTATTTCTCCTAACTTGGGGAGGACAATGAATATGATTACAGTCCATTTGTAAATTAAACAGGACCTTTCCCAGATCTTCCTGACTAAGTAAAGGTACTCAGAATACCACATTGTTGATATTCCAATTTCTTTATCTTCCTATCTGGGTATAGAGCTCCTGAGTACTAAGGGCATTCAGGGTGAGAATTGTCCCAGAATATTCTTTTTTTTTTAAATATTTTTATTTATTTCTAGGAGAGAGAGACAGCGTGAGCAGGGGAGGGTCAGAGAGAGAGGGAGATACAGACTCCGAAATGGGCTCCAGGCTCTGAGCTGGCAGTCAGCACAGAGCCCAACGTGGGGCTCGAACCCACGAACTGCGAGATCATGACCTAAGCGAAAGTCGGACGCTTAACCAACTAAGCCACCCAGGAGCCCCTGTCCCAGAATATTCTTGTTCTAATTTTTTAATTTTTAAAAATGTTTATTATTTATTTTTGAGAGAGATAGAGTGTAAGTGGGAGAAGGGCAGAGAGAGAAGGAGACACAGAATCCAAAGCAGACTCCAGGCTCCAAGCTGTCAGTGTAGAGCCCAATGCAGTGAGATCATGACCTGAGCAGAAGTCAGATGCTTAACCAACTGAGCCACCCAGGCACCAGTTTAGTGTATTTTAAATAGCACTGCCTTCTTTGGCCTTACCCAGCCCTACCTTATTGCATCTGTGTGTACCCTCTGTTCTACAAGCAGTGTTTCAGCTCTACAGGGGACAGGATGCAGAGGTCCTGAAATGTATGATGTTGCCTCAAAAGACAGGTCCCTCTCCTGTGGTTAACAGGGTTAAGATCATTCAATAAATAATTATTGCATTATTGCCTACTGTTTAATATTATGTAATACCATGTACAATGCTATGTGAGATATTTTAAAGACTGTAAATATAAATAAGAAATGGCTCCTTCAAATTTAGGTACAGATTTATTTATAGTGCAGAGTAAAAAGTAAGTTCATAAGAGCAAGGAAAATAAAATTCTTTGAAACACAGAAGAGAGGACTCAATGGCAGCATCACAGAAGAGATAGAATTTGAGCTGGGCCTTGAAAGAGCAGTTAAGATTTCAAGATATGGAGAAGACCATTTAATAGCATGAGCAAAGGGACAGGTGATAGAAATGGGGCAGTTCTGGGGGAGAGGAGGGATGGGCATGGAGGAGGACACTTGTGGGGATGAGCACTGAGTGTTATGTGGAAACTAATTTGACAATAAACTATTTGTAAAAAAAAAAAAAAAAAAGAAATGGGACAGTTCTATTCTATTCGTTAGCTGTGTCACAAGTCTGAGAGATGGACAAAAGCAGTTTCATACCCCCTACCTACTCTCAGTGTCTGCATAAGCAAGGAGACAAGATAAGGCTGTGAAGCTAATGTCCAATATTACCATCTCTTCTCTTTTTTCCTCTCTGTCCAAGAGGTTGAAGTCATTTGTTTCTACAAGAAAGACCTGGCTGCCACTGCTGCCCAGTGCTGCAGTTGCTAGTTTTGACAGACCATGCATCAGGAAGAATTTGCAGTCTGAGGATATGGATCATATAGTCCTTTGGGGTTCTTAAAGCTACAGAGTTCTCGTTCAAAACATCTGTCCATAGCTCAAAGATTTAAATGCAAAAATTGAAATTGTAGAAGTACCAGAAACATTCATGGAATAAAGCTTCTTCATAAAAGTTTATGAGAAGAAAACTATGCTGTAAACAAAGTCAGAGTTCAAACTAGGAAAAATACTTGCAACACATATGATGAGTAAAAGGATAATTTCCTTAACATTCATTGATACATCAGTAACAGAATAACCAGCAATTGAATAGAAATTGGTGAAGGACTCCACCAAGCAGTTCATAGGAAAAGAAATGCAGATGGCTTATAAACATATAAAAAGACTCAAAATCTTACCCACAATAAAAGAACTGCAAATTAAATTACAAGGAGATTTTATTTCTCATCCATTACAGTGGCAAAGATCAAAAACTTTTATTAAAGCCTGTGTTGACAAGGGTATGGGGAACAGGCAGGCAGTGCTGATTGGTAGGTAAACTGTGGAACTTCTTTGCAGAATAACTTGGTGATGATTATCAACATTTAAAATGCACATGGTGAGCAGGGGGAAGTGTACTGATATTTGCAACTTACTTTTTTAATGTTTATTTATTTTTGAGAGAGAGAGAGAGGCAGAGTGTGAGGAGGGAAGGGGCAAAGAGAGAGGGAGACACAGAACTCAAAGTGGGCTCCAGGTTCCGCACTGTCAGCACAGAGCCCGACACGGGGCTCGAACTCACAAACTGTGAGATCATGACCTGAGCTGAAGTCGGATGCTTAAGCAACTAAGCCACCCAGGCGCCCTGCAACTTATTTTGAAATGTATCAAAAATGATGGATTGATGGATGGTTGGATACATATATGTTAGGAAAATACAGTAAAATGTTAATGCATGAATCTATCTAGATGATGTGCCTATAGATGTCCATTGTAAAATTCTGTCCTTTTTTTTGTTTGTTTGAAAATGTTCATAATACAATGTTGGGAAAAAATGATATGCATAAATCTGTGAGCAATCCTTCTAAGAATTTACCTTGGGAAAGAAAAGAATTTACCTTGACATACTGGTACATGTGCATAAAGATATATATATATTCATTACAGTATTGGTTATAGTGCAACCTAAATGTTTTCAGTAGGGAACTGGTTATATGAATAGCCATTTAGTGGAATGTTGTTTAGCCATTAAGAAAAATAAGACAGATATACTTAAAATTATCTCCAACATATATATGAAAAAGTAGTTTACAGTATAGCATACTGCTCTCTGATAATTTTTATGTATATGTAACATTTCTCTGAAAGGCTACAGAGGCAACTGCTAGGACTGGTTTCTTCCAGAGAGGAGATTTGACAGGTGTAAATTATGTGATTCTGGGTGGGAGAAAGACTTTTTCTGTATGCCTGTTGGTATTTCTTTACAGGGAGTTGGGGGAGCAGGAGAGGGGAGAGGAGTTAGTTTTTCAAGAAAAATGGATCATACTGTACATATTGGGAAGCAGCATAGCATCTTCGTTAAGAACTCAGTCTTTGAAGATGATATGTGGGTCCTGGGTCCACTATTTATTATGGTCTGAGGCAAATGGTTAATCTCTCTAAGCCTCATGGAGAAAATAAAAGTATCCACTTCTTAGGGTTGATGTGAAAATTAAATGGATAATTCATGCAAAACCCTCCACTTGTAAGCTATAACTATCTTTGTATCATTTACATTTAGAATAATTATCATTTTTTACTCTAAAAATATAGTTCTAAGGATTCCTTGAGATCATAACCTTTGTCTACTTCTTGCTTAGTATTTAGACTCCCTCCAACCCTTTTTTGAAACATTTGTCTTTTTCCAGATACCTTAAATCACATTATAAATTAATTACCTATAGAATTAGGAATCTGAGACTTTCTATCCAAACCTACAAATAATGGTTAAAATTCTTCCATGTTATAATACACTGGTATCTCATTTAGTTGAAGACTAGCCTAGGCCTGATTTGTGGTGTTGTTTTTGTGGTTAAGGAATCAAAGTGCCTCTCACTGTACCAAAAGCAGGAATAGGATTACTTGAGAGTAATGGGATCAGTCAGTTACTCTGGCAGCCTGAAAGCCTATAGTGATAATTGACCAGCTCTATATCCTTACTCTCTTTTCCTTCAGGACTTCATATCATCCACAGCCTAGATGAGGTCAATTTCATACAGAATCTTGTATTTTACATTGAAGCTGCATATAAAACTGCTGTAAGTACTCATTTTAGAATTAATTTTAAACATATGATGGTTTTATTTTTAAAATTTTTTATTAACTTTATTTGCTTTTGAAGAGAGAAAGAGAGAGTGAAAGAGATCACATGTGGGGAGGGGCAGAGAGGGAAAAGGGAGAGAGAGAGAATCCTAAGCAGGCTCCAAGCTGTCAGCACAGAGCTTGATACCAGGCTCGAACTCACAAACCATGAGATCATTACCTGAGCCAAAACCAACAGTCAGATGCTTAGCCAACTGAGCCACTCAGATGCCCCTAACCATATGATGTTTTTAAAAATACTAGACAACCTGCTCTTTCTCTTAATGCTGTACCTCATAGTGAACCAATCTATAAGGCTTCTGGCAGAAATCGCCTTCAGCCTTTTTGTTTACTAAGCTCTGTCATCCTCTGTTTGCCTCCTTTCCAAGGAAGTATAGAAACAAGAGGGTCAAGATGCTATGCATCCATTCTTTTCAAACTCTGTAATATCCTGTGTTATGTATTTGGGAACCTGGAACTAGGTTGTGGTCTTATTTTAATGACCTTTGGTCTAAAAAACAGGAGCAAGATGGCTAGGGAGTATAATGAGTCAGCTAGCTACTTAGAAATAAAATTTGGCCATATGTTTAATATTATCTGTAGACATTGCTTCTGTATCTACTATACAAAAAATAGTTCCTTTTTCTTACAACTACCACAGGACATATGTTTATACTAAATCATGATATATTTAACATCTCCTGTTTCAGGGATCACTGTTCTTCACTCCATAATGTTCATTGTATTGAAGCTGGTTGTCATAAGTAGTCCAGGTATTTTTAGTCATCTAAAACGTTTAATTTGTTTAGATTATTTTTAGCTGTTTTAGGTGGGAGGGTAAATCTGTGACCTGTAACTCCATATTTGCCAGATGGAGAAGTTTACCATAAACATATTTGATGCAAGCTACATTATTTGTTGACTGGTCCCTTTGCCTTCTGATACCATAGGCATGCTATGGTCCAGGATACAAGTCAAAGTTCTCTGGACTCTCCATTGCAGCCAGAGATTACAGCAGAATTAACAATATGTGTGCCTTCTCATAGTCTAATCTTTGCTGCACAAATTAGGGTAGAGTGGGGTTTGGGGACAAGTGAAGCTAGCCATGGATAAATATGGCTCACCTTACAGAAGCTTCACTTTAACTAAGAGATTTGATGTAAAAGTCATTTAAGGTATATATAGACACAGGTATAGGGGTGTGTGTGTTTGCATGCACACATGCATGTTTACACATGAGTATTTCCAAATTCTGTTTATTGAGAGAGTGTAGAAGCAATGGCACCACAGTGACAATGAGTACCTGTCCCTCGGTCTTGGATTAACTGCTCATCTTGTAATAAGAGAAAGTAGGATTCCTTGTAGAAGTGGTTGATTGAAGGGGTGAGCTGAGGAAATCACAGGATGACTGCAGTATCTTGTAGTGACAGAAAGTGAGGAAGTGTTCAAAAAGAATGGGGCATGTCAAAAGGGCATAGGAGCCAACCCAGAAGAACTCCCAGTGGGTAAAGCTGGAACAATTTGAGCAACAAAACAAATAATGATAATATTTTGTTATAATCCAGAGAATAACCTAAATATTTATGAATTCATACTAATAGAAATAAATGAGAGAGAAAGAACAGCTCTTCCTTAGAGGAGAATTGCAATTAATGACTGTAGAGTTAATTAAGGAACTAAAATATCACCATTGAAATACCACTGTAATAATTGTTACAAACAAGATTCACTAATGGATGCTAAATTAGCAGGTAGATATTTGAGGAGATACAGGATATTTGCAGAGTTATAAAGTATATTTTTCAAGATAGTAATTAATCACAAGGGAGAGAATATTAACAAAGCAGTAGCATGGAGAAACCCTGCAGACACCATATGATGAAGGTTAACATCACCACAATAAGTCATAGCAACACCGTGTACTCTCTGATGTGATGCAGTGAGAAGGACACAGCATAGCATCTGTAGTATTCTTTTTTTTTTCAGATTTTTAAAAAAATTTTTTAATGTTTTATTTATTTCTGAGAGAGAGAGAGACACTGTGAGCAGGGGAGGGTCAGAGAGAGAGAGGCACAGAATCTGAAACAGGCTCCAGGCTCTGAGCTAGCTGTCAGCACAAAGCCTGATGCGGGGCTTGAACCCACGAACCATGATATTATGACCTGAGCCGAAGTCAGACACTTAACTGACTCAGCCACCCAGGCGCCCTGCATCTGTAGTATTCTTGACAGAAATGCATAGTCTTAATATAATCAAGAGAAGGCATCAGGTGAACCTAAATTGAGGGAAATCTATAAAAATGTCTGACCACTGATCTTCAGAAAGTGTCAAGGTCATGAAAGACAAGACTTGAAAAACTTTAACTGATTAGAAGAGACCAAGGAGGGATGACAAATACAGCATAGTATTCTGGACTGGATCTTGGAACATAAAAAGGCTATTAGTGGAAAAACTGATGGAAACCTAAGAAAGTCCATAAGTTGGTTACTAGCATTGTACTAATGTTAATTTCTTAGCTTTGACAATTGTACTATGGTTATGTCAGGTGTTAACATTAGGGGAAGTTGAGTGAAAGGTCTATGGGAACTCAATGTACTGTTTTTGTAACTTCTCTGTAACTCTGAAGTTCTTTTAAATAAAAAAGTTTTTATTTTTTTATTTTTTTTAAACATTTTTTTAATGTTTTATTTATTTCTAGGAGAGAGAGACAGAGACAGCATGAGCAGGGGAGGGTCAGAGAGAGAGGGAGTCACAGATTGAAACAGGCTTCAGGCTCTGAGCTGGCAGTCAGCTCAGAGCCCGATGCGGGGCTCGAACCCACGAACCGCGAGATCATGACCTAAGCGAAAGTCGGACACTTAACCGACTAAGCCACCCAGGCGCCCCAATAAAAAAGTTTTTAAAAAGTAATTTTAAATGTTATTACATCATCAAAGGGCTACATAAAGCTACAGTTAAGAATTTACACTTTGGACTGAGAGTACTTGGACTCTAATCCTAGCTCTATCACTTATTAGCTGTGTGACCTTGGGTGAGTGAGTCACTTAACCTCTCTTTGCACTTCAGTTTCATCATCTATAAAATATAGATAAATGTAATAAGGAAGGTAGCAGTGTAAAGTGCATAGGTTAGTGCATGATACATTGTCAGTGCCAATAGAGAGTAAAATTAGAATATATATATAAGATAGAACACTGGACTGCTGTTTAAGCTCCATCATCCAGAACCCCTGGGTATCTGCTTTGATGAAAAATTTTGAGAAGCACTTTTCTACATGAACTGAGTTATAGTTCTTGACTTGATCAACTGTTGAGGAGTCTTCCAACATCTTGGAGGTCCCAATAGAATTTAAAGCTACTGGGAAAATAGCTAGGAAGCAGCCCAACTCATTGATATCTCCTTAATAAGCATTGTGGGTACACACATGTATGGCAAATTAGCTACTATTAGCCTTTTATTCAAGGGTTATGTGTCTAGTAAACATTTAGTAGTAATGACTTGCTAATGGTATGTTGGTTATTTTATGCTAGGACTTTGGGATATGGGAACGTGGAGACAAGACCAACCAAGGAATCTCAGAATTGAATGCCAGTTCAGTTGGAATGGCAAAGGTAATTTTCCTTGCTTTATTTATACCAAGTACACCTTTGCCATAGATAAAGGCTTAACATGAATTTGGACTATCATCAAGTTGTTCTTTTTTTTTTTAAAGTTTATTTAGTTTGAAAGAGAGAAAGAACACAATCGGGGAAGGGGCAGACAGAGAGGGAGAGAGAGAATCCCAAGCAGACTCTACTCTGTGAGCACAGAGCCCAATGCAGGTTTTGAACTCACAAAACATGAGATGGTGACCTGAGCTGAAACCAAGAGTCGGATGCTTAACTGACTAAGCTATCCAAGTGCCCCCAAATTGTTCTTTTAAAACACAGGCAAAGTTCAGATTCTCCCATAGAACTATGGACATGTAGGTGAAGATTTCTTTCATAATATCCAGATTTATATATCCAACTGCTTTTGTCACATAGCTCTAATTATATATACCACAGAGACCTCTGAGAACATATCTTAAACTAAATTCATCTTCTCTACCATTACAAAAATAAAAAGAGGCCTTGCCCCTTCTATACACCAGTTGACACAACTTGATATCAGAGACCATCTGTCAATCCTGAACCCCTTCACTCTCCTGCATCCCACATATCATCATCATCATCATCATCATCATCATCATCATCATCACTACCTTTCTATTTGACTCCTCCTTTTCCTTCCCACTGCTACTGCCTTAATTTCAGCTCTTATTTTTGGAGACAGCAAGAAGGCATTAAATAGGATAGCAGGAATAGGATCAAACATATTATAATGATAAATACACATGGCCTAATTTAAGTTTCTCCTGCCAAAAGACACAGATTGAGTTTTAAAAGATATATATATACCCCTATGTTTATTGCAGCATTATTTACAATAGCCAGGATATGGAAACAACCTAAGTGTCCATCTACAGAGGAATGGATAAATATGTGATACACACACACACACACACACACACACATGCACACATATAAAATGCAATATTACTTACCCATAGGAAAAAGTGAAATCTTGCCATTCATGACAACATGGATGGAGGTAGGGATATTGTACCAAGTGAAATAAACCAGACAGAGAAAGAAAAACAGCATATGATTTCACTTATATGTGGAACCTAAAAAACAGAACACAATTAGAAGCACACAATAAAGGAAACCTAAATTTCCAGCAGGTGTTAAATGGCTTAATAAATATGAGTGAATACTATGTTGAAATAAAGAATTTTCATAATATAGAGAAACATTCATGTTGTAGTATCCTAAACAAATTTTATATGAAACATGATCTCAACTATAGACAGATTTGCAGAGAAAACTAATAGGGAACATGCCAAAAATATGAGCATTATTTTGGGTGACTTTTTTGCCTTCTCTATACTTTTTATGTTTTCAAAATATTCTGTACCAAGTATGGTATACTTTTATAATCAGAAAAGCAAGAAATTAATAAGTAAATTCAATTTTTAAAAAACATGGTAACTCATCTTTGGCCTTGATGACTAATAACTTTCATCTTTAAGTCAATCATAGTGCCTTTTAGGCTATTCACTTCTCTGTGGAAACTCAGTGATGCGCCAATACCTAATGGCTCTTGCATTTTAGTATCTTCTATCCACACAAGTTGTGGTATTTCTTATGTACTCACATCACACTAGTCGATTACTACGAATTCATCTGTGCCATGTTCAAATTATTTTTAAAGTGTGATGCTTGACTTGATAATGCTAAACTTTATCTAGCTTATGCCATATATTTAAAAAATGTATTTCTATTGAGATGTAATTGACATGTAACATTGTGTAAGTTTGAAGTGTACAACATATTGATTTGATACATTTTTATTGCAATACGATTACCAGCAAAGTATTACATAACACCTCTATCACATCATGTAATTATCATTTCCTTTTTGTGGTAGGAACGATTAATAGTCTTAGATAATACAGTATTATTGTCTATAATCACTGTACTGTGCATTAGATCTCCAGAACTTATTTATCTCCTGGTTGCAAGTTTGTGCCTTTAAACAACATCTCCTTAATTCCTTTATCCCCCAACCCCTGGTAACCACTATTTTACTCTACTTTTTGGTATTTGGCTTTTTTCACATAGAGGTGATATAATACAGTATTTGTCTTTCTCTGTCTCACTTAACATAATGCCTTCAAGTTCTATCTCTGTTGTTACAAATGGCAGGATTTCCTTTGTTCTCATAGCTGAATGATATTCCTGTGTGTGTGTGTGTGTGTGTGTGTGTATCACATCTTCTTTACCCATTCACCTGGTGACAGACGCTTAGTGTTTCCATATTGGCTTCTGTGAATAATGCTTCAATAAACATGAGGGTACATATATCTCTTTGATATCCTCTTTTCATTTCTTTGTATTCCCAATAGTGGAATTGCCGGGTTGATCATATGATAGTCCTATTTCAAGTTTTTTAGGGCCCCCCCATAGTGTTTTCTATAGTGGCAGAACCAATTTGCCTTCCATCCAACAGTGTACAAGGGTTTCCATTTCTCCACATTCTCGTGCCAACACTTGTTACCATGTGTCTTTTAGATAATAGCCATTCTTTTAAGTTTATTTATTTTGAGAGAGAGAAGGGGTGTGTGTGTGCAGAGGAAGGGCAGAGAGAGAGAGAGAGAGAGAGAGAGAGAGAATGAATCCCAAGCAGGCTCTGCACTGTCCTCATGAGTCTGATGCAGGGCTCAAACCCACGAACCACGAAATCAAGACCAGAGCCAAAATCAAGAGTCAGTCGCTTAACCAACTGAGCCACCCAGACGTCCCAATAATAGCCATCCTTACAGGTATGAAGTGGTATTGTATTGTGGTTTTGATTTGTATTTCCCTGTTGATTAATGACTTTGGATATCTTTTCATGTATCCATTGACCGTTTGTATGTCTTCTTTGGAAATAATATATATTCAATTCCTCTGCTCATTTGTTAATTGAATTGTCTTTTGATTATTGAATTGTATGAGTTCTTTACATATTTTAGATATTAACCTCTTATCAGATGCAGTTTGTAAATATTTTCTCCTATTCCATACGTAGCCTTTTCATTTTTTTAAATTGTATCTTCTTTTGTGCAGAAACTTTTTAGTTTGATGTAATACCATTTGTTGATGTTTGTGCTTTTGGCATCATACCTAAAAAATCATTGCCAAGACCAATGTAAAGATGCTTTTCTCCTATGTTTTCTTCTAGAAGTTTTATGGTATCAGGTCTTATGTTTAGTCCATTTTAAGTTCATTTTTGTGAAGGTGTAAGGCAGGAGCCAATTTCATCTTTCTGTATGTGGTTATCTAGTTTTCCCAGCACCATTTGTTGAAGAGACTATTCTTTCTGCAAATACTAAGTAACTGTAAATGCAGGAGGTTATTTCTGGCTTATTATGTTTCATTGGTCTGTTTGTATATTTTTATTCCCATACCATAATATTTTAATCATTATGGCTTTGTAGTATATAGTTTGAAATTAGGATGTGTGATTCCTCCAGCTTTATTCTTCATTCTCATGATTGCTTTGGCTATTTGGTGTCTTGTGGTTCCATACAAATTTTAGGACTGTTTTTGTATTTCTGTGAAAAATGCCATTGGAATTTTGATAAGGATTGCATCAGATCTATAGATGGCTTTTGGTAGTAAGGACATTTTAACAGTATTATTTCTTCTAATACATTGAACATGGAATATCTTTCCATTTGTGTCTTTAATTTCTTGCATCAAAGTATTGTAGTTTCCATTGTACAGATCTTAGTTAAATCTATCCTTAAGTATTTTATTACTTTTGATGCTATTGTGAATGGGATAGTTTTCTCTATTTCCTTTTCCAGATTTTTTTTGTTGTTAATGTACATAAATGCCATTGATTTCTGTATGTTAATTTTATATCGTGTAACTTTACTGAATTCATTGATTGGTTCCAACATTTTGAGGTTGAGTTTATAATTTTTTATATATAAGATCATATCCTCTCTATATAATGACAGTTTTACTACTTCTTTCCTATGTGGATGCATTTTATTTCCTTGTCTTGCCTAATCGCTCTAGCTAGGATTTTCCCATAGTATGTTGAATAAGAGTGGTGAGAGCATCCTTGTCTTTCTCCTGATCTTAGAGGAAAAGCTTTCAATTTTTCACTGCTTTTTATTTGAATTCCAGTTAGTTAACATACAGTGTAATATTAGTTTCTGGTGTACAAAGTAGTGATTCAACACTTCCATATATCACCCAGTGCTCTTCACAGAAAGTGTTAGCTGTGGGGTTTGATGTTTATGGGCTTTATTATGTTCAGGTATGTTTATTCCACACTGTATTTGTTGAGGGTTTTTATCATGAAAGGAAGCTTACAACATCCATCTTAACTGTCTCTGGAAAAATATGGGAGGCAAAGAAAAATTCACAGGCCCCTGGGAATAAAAAAAAAAAGCTACATTGTTTTTTCTGTTCTTCTGAGCATATTCAAAATGACTTCATATACACTGATATGATACTGGGGTAAAGGGAGAAGAATATATCTTTTGGTAAAAATGTTCTTTGTTTCTTTATCCTTCGCAGGCAGCCCTGGAAGCATTAGATGAACTGGACCTATTTGGTGTGAAAGGTGGGCCCCAATCAGTTATCCATGTCCTGGCTGATGAAGTGCAACACTGCCAGGTAAGAGATTAATGGACCACATTATAGAAAATTTTATTCTTACCCAGACTCAGAATTAGCATGGCTTTTAGAATAAGGAGACCTTAGAGTACATAATCTGATTTATTATCATGTGCCAAAAATGTCTTATCCAAACTTCCTATACTGAGACAAGCCTGATATAGCATGAACTGTAACATAGATCATAGTCCTGTTCTCTCATCCATGGTTATAAAGGGATTCCCACCATATTGTGTGGAATTCTCCACTGTTGTCATATCAAGGGTCTATAGGGTCTGCTCCTGAATATCTCCTTTTCTAAATATACCAAGAGAACAAGAGGTGAATGATTTTGAGTGTTCTTCTTGACAGTGGCTTTGAAACATTCTTTTGTCCCCAGTTGGCTCTAGGCTGAGATGTTTGGAGATTAGGCTGTTTAAGGAATAAGTATGTATCTTCAGTTTTGTTTAGGGTTACTCTCTGTATTGAAAAATTAAGGTTCTTCCCATTGGCAAGATGACCTCCTTGCCTTCAAACTATGATTAGATACCCATAGTGAATATAAACTCATCTTCTAATTTTAAAATGTATTTTCCTTGGAAAAGATAAATGTCAGCAGTGGAGGACCTGACCCTTCCACATCCTGCTTCTCAGCAGCTACATTTTCTTTTATCTTTACCCTTAAGTGGCTAATGGAGCAAGGGGATTGTGGGCGAGATGATGTTAGTGTATTTATCTATTAGCAGTTGTTTAAGATTCAGGATTGAGAAGCATTGAGAGCAGTATTAAGATAATGGATGATTTACATAAATAACTAGTTTTCTAAGCTGTCGCTTAGAAATTATTATTGAATTATTATTGAATTCAGTACTGAGTATAATTGAATCATTATTATTGAATAATGTTTAGATTTTCTCCTGAATGATCCTCTTCCACATTCATCTTTTGAAATTAAAGCTGTTAGTTTTATAATCCCAACTTAACTACTAATGTGCCACATTTGACTTCTTTCTTTCTTTTTAGTCTATCCTTAATTCACTACTTCCCCGGGCTTCAACATCCAAAGAGGTAGATGCTAGTCTACTTTCAGTTGTTTCCTTCCCAGCTTTTGCAGTAGAAGATAGCCAGTTGGTAGAGCTCACAAAGCAAGAAATCATTACCAAGCTTCAGGTATGTCCATATGTGCCCTTCTTGTTTTCAGGCTTTGACTTTAAAGAGAAACTAATTCTCTTGGGGGCCTTGAGCCAGCAATGTAACCAAGTGATCAGGGTTAACACCACCAGTAATAAAATGTAGTGACATCATGTGGCCCCAGATACAGTACACTGAGAAGTTCACAGCACAATGTGGTATCTGTGCAAATAATGCGTAATCTCAGTCATGGGAAAACATCAGACAAAACCAAATTGAGGGCCATGCTACAAAATAACTGATGAGCTCTTCAAAAGTGTCAAGGTGATGAAAGACAAGGAAAGACTGAGGAACTATCATAGACTGGAAGAGACTAATGAGACATGACAACTAAATGGAATGAGATCCTAAAATGGATATTGGAACAGGAAAAAACAAGGCCATTAGTGGAAAAACTGGCAGGGCACCTGGGTGGCTCAGTCAGTTAAGTGTCCAAGTTCAGCTCAGGTCATGATCTCGTGGTTCGTGGGTTCTGAGCTGTCAGCACAGAGCCCAGAGCCTGCTTCAGATTCTGTGTCTTCCCCTCTCTCTGCCCATCACCTGCTTGTGTGCACTCTCTCTCTCTCTCAAAAACAAATATTTAAAAAAGAAAGAAAGAAAAATTGGAAAAGTCTAAATAAGTTCTGTACTTTGGTTAATAGTGTTGTACCAAGGTTAATTTTTTAGCTTTGATAAACGTTCTGTAGTTATGTAAGAAGTTAAAATAAAGGGACAGTGGTTGAAGGGTAGTGGGGGCTCTCTGTACTATTTTTGCAACTCTTCTCTAAGTCTCAAATTATTTCAAAAATTTAAAAATATGTTGTCTTTTTTTTAAGCCTGTCATCTCTTATGAGCTGTGTGAACAGAACCACATACAGTAGTAATTGGGCTATTACAGACTTACCCTATGGTGGAAAATGATGGAAAGGATAATATTAGAAACTCTGCTTTAGGGAAGAGCCTGTAACTTAGCCCTCACTTGAACTCACATTTATTGCTGAAATCAGTTTCTGCTACTGGGCTGGTATCAAAGGCTTTTTTAGATTATATTTTATTATTTTTTAAATAATGTATCTGTATTGGGGGTAGATTGGCACATGTAGCTGTTGCAAAGGATGTATTTGATGGACTATATGGCTGTACCATTGTGCATGCTTCCATCTTTTTTTTCCTTTGGGTTTCCAGGGTCGTTATGGTTGCTGTCGCTTTCTACGAGATGGATATAAAACTCCTAAAGAGGTAGGTTTCTTTTCTCCCAAAATGAGTCCAAGGTAGAATGGTCAGTACTATCAGCAATCTCATTCTGAGAATACTTAACTCTCTGGTGGTACTTAAAATAATCACTAAAGGGGCACCTGGGTAGCTCAGTTACTTAAGTGTCTGACTCTTGGTATCAGCTAAGGTCATGGTCTCACAGTTTCATGAGTTTGAGCACTGCATCAGGCTCTGCGCCTGCTTGGGATTCTCTCTCTCCCTCACGTTCTGCCCCTCCCCCACTCATGCTATCTCTGCCTCTCTCAAAATAAATAAACTTAAAAAAATAAAAACTAAAATAAAATAATCACTAAATAAGATACAGTAACTGATGTTTCCTGCCTTTGTTGGGCTTTGTTGCCAAGTTCTATTTGTGAGCCTTTACAGATTAAATAAAATAGAGGAAGGCTGGTTAGTTTCAGGAAAGAGCTAACAGATGCTTAAATCAGTGGATGAAAGTTTAGGGAGAAGCAGAATATTTGAATAGTCTCAAAGTATCATCCTCCCAAATATTTAATAGTTACAAAGGGAAAAATCTTTTCTTCAATAGCGCTTTCTGCCCCCTTCCACCTTTAGCAGTTGGTTGGTTCTAAACAGTACCCAATCTTGAAAAGTTAACTTCCTTTTGCTCCACTTGTCAAAAATTCTCCTTGGAATTATCAATGGAGAAAATTAAGTATTATTAAAGGGAATGAATGGTCAAGAAGGACTTCACTGGCAATATAAACATTTTTTAATCATCAAGCTCCAACTCTTCTAGTCTACTTTCCTTGCTCTACTTTATTCGTTAGCCCTGTTGATTTCTATCTCTACCAATCTATTAAACTTATGGTCTGAAATACCATCAGAATCTCCCAGATGATCAGTCCAATAGCCTTTTCCACTCCACATTATACTTGCCTCCTCTGTAGTACATTACTGTTATCTACACCTCCATCTTCATGAAATCATTTTCCTATTTAATTTATATAGCTTTACACTATCCTAATTCTTTGCTTTTTGTTCTTTTCTCACAAGACTATGAGAACATAACCAAGATTCCATTCTCAGGTCATCTGTTCACTATATGTAGCTACTACGTTTGTAACTTGTGCTTCAAGTGTCACTTCTATGGGGATGACTCACAAATCCTCATCTTTCTTGCTGTCCTTTGAAACATTTCTATTTTACATTCTGCTGCTACCTCAAACTTAACAAATACAAAATCAAACTTGTGTTTATTAGGAATTAATGTCACTTCTTCACTTATCTGCCTATCGTGTCATTTTTATCCCAGTTCTACAGGTTACAAGTCATGTCACAAAGTACTTACTAAGGAAGGAGGGGTGTGTACACGCCCTCCAAGGCTGTATTGTGATACCTCTGAACTAAAGATGTGTGTCTGAATTTGCAGTGATAAAATAGACTTTTTTATTGTGTTTTTACCAGGATCCCAACCGTCTGTACTATGAACCATCAGAGCTGAAGTTATTTGAAAACATTGAGTGTGAATGGCCACTGTTCTGGACATACTTTATCCTTGATGGGGTCTTTAGTGGCAATGTAGAGCAGGTAATATGCTGGGGAAAGAACTTTTCGGCAGAATGTTTTTGTTATGTCTTCTTTCAGTTAATGTTTGTGCTGACCCTGTGACCAAATGAAGTATTCCTTAATAGGGAAGAGACAGAGTTGTCTTCTAGAGACTAGTAGTTGAGGGCAGTAGGTTAAGAGCTGGAAGACTTGGATAGTGCAATCACTCAGACTTGACCTTTAATAAATACAGAGAGCACAATAACAAGCCCTGTCCACTTGCGTCAGTTATTAAAGCTACTTGAATTTGTATTTTTTTTAAATCTTGGAAATGATGTTCTGACTTTAGCCTTCCCTGCCCCCCCCCCAGAAAAACCAAAACAACAACAACCCATTCATACCCTGTCCTTGCCCTCCAAAACATGGTCATCATCGTTTTTTTTTTTTGAGCTACATAAATAAAGTAATTTAGAAACCATCATTGGAAAACAGTGAGACTGGGAAAATTAATCAAGCAAGTTTAGTGTCTGGCATTCTAAAAACTGACAACGGTCTAAACTTGGACATGAATCCAGCACATTTGGAAATCCCTTATACTTAGCAACATAAAACATAATTCTGTGTAATTTGAATGCTTTGGCCAGTATTAATCTGTAACTGCCATGGGCGCCTGGGTGGCTCAGTCATTTAAGCATAAGCTCAGGTCATGATCCCCCAATTCGTGGGTTTGAGCCCCACATCAGTCTCTGTGCTGAGAGCTCAGAGCCTAGAGCCTGCGTCAGATTCTGTGTTTCCCTGTCTTTCTGCCTCTCCCCTGCGCACTCTCTGTCTCTCTCAAAAATAAACATTAAAAAATTTTTTTTAAATCTGTAATTACCAATATGAGTTTGAGTAATAGGGTTACACCAAAATTTAAGGGGCCATAAAGTGTTTTACTCTAAAGTTTAGTAAATTAAACGATATCCCTTTTTGCGAAAGCAAATAAGCTAGGCAGTCATAGAAATAACCCACCCTATTTTGATTCTACCATTTTTCTCAGTCCTCAAATTCCACAGAATTGTTTTTCAAAAACTTTTCTTGCTCAAAGGAAAATTTATTTATCAAATGTGCCTACCAAGTACAAAGCACATCAGATTTTTGGGACTCTGTGGAGGAAAAAAAAAAGAGTTGGGAGACCTGAATTCTTTCTTTTTTTCTGGCTTCTTTAGCAACTTGTAAGTAGTCCAAGTATAGTCATTGACTTCTTCGGGTTCTCTGTATACAATGGAAATAGTTTTTTGTTCTTAGAAGAAGATATCCCTAAAGTTTTTTTTTTTTAAATTTCACAGATGAAGATGTGTCATAAGAACAAGGGAAGTCAGGGGCACCTGGGTGGCACAGTCGGTTAAGCATCTGACTTCGGCTCTGGTCATGATCTCACAGTTCGTGAGTTTGAGCCCCATATCAGGCTCTGTGCTGACTGCTCAGACGCTGGAGCCTCCTTAGGATTCTGTGTCTACCTCTCTTTCTGCACCTTCCCTTCTCACATTCTGTCTCTCTTGCAAAAATAAATAAACATCAAAAAACGAAGAAGGGAAGTCAGTTCGGCTATAATAAGACATACATGTTTCTCGAAGATCACCATGCTCTGCATATTTGAGAAATAAATCTATAGGGCTCATGGGAAAAGGAGGTTGGGACACAACACTTAAAAAGTTTGTCAGAAATACATACAAAGCAAAAGGAACCCGGGGTCCCTTGGTGACTCAGTCAGTTAAGTGTCTGACTTCAGCTCAGATCATAATCTCACAGTTCATGGGTTCAAGCCCCACACCAGCCTCTCTGCTGACAGCTTGGAGTCCGGGGCCAGCTTCAGATTCTGTATCTCCCTCTCTATCTGCCCCTCCCCCACTCAAGCTTGTGTGCTCGCTCTCTCTCTCTCTCTCTCTCTCAAAAATAAAATAAACAGTGGGCACCTGGGCAGCTCAGTCAGTTAAGTGTCCGACTTCAGCTCAAGTCATGATCTCGTGGTCTGTGAGTTCAATCCCCACGTCGGGCTCTGGGCTGACAGCTTAGAGCTTGGAACCTGTTTTATATTCTGTGTCTCCTTCTGCTTCTGCCCCTCCCCTGCTCACACTCTGTCTCTCTTTCTCTCAAAAATAAATGAAACATAAAAAAAATAATAAATAAAATGGGGCGCCTGGGTGGCTTAGTCGGTTGGGCGTCCGACTTTCGCTTAGGTCATGATCTCCCGGTTCGTGGGTTTGAGCCCCGCGTCGGGCTCTGTGCTGACTGCCGGCTGAGAGCCTGGAGCCTGTTTTGGAGTCTGTATCTCCCTCTCTCTCTGGCCCTCCCCTGCTCACGCTGTCTCTCTCTCTCTCTCCTAGAAATAAATAAAAATATTTTTAAAAAATAATAAATAAAATAAAATAAACATTTAAAAATTTCAAAAACAATAAGAACCTAATAAACACAGTAGTGTAAATTTATGCATGGTAAATGGTTAAGAAATACATTAATACCACAATAAATATGGCACTTGTACCCTGAAAAAGACCTAAGGTTTGCTCATGGACATGTGCACCCATGTTCCTGCCAGCTGACCTGCTGAGCTCCCATGCCCACCACCCTGTGTGCCAGAAGAAGAGAACAAGAAAGATAGCACAATAATGAGGGGAAAGAGAAAAAGAACATAGAATAGACAGGATAATTAAAAAATAAACTGTGAGGAAAGAATGAAATCTGGCCATTTGTAGCAACAAGGATGGAACTTGAGGGTGTTATGTTGAGCAAAATAACTCAGACAGAGAAAGACAGATACCATATGCTTCCACTTATAGGAGGATTAGGAGAGACTTAATAGAGGACCATGGGGGAGGAGAAGGGGAAAAATAGTTGGGGAGAGGGAGGGAGGCAAACCATGAGAGACTCTTGAATACTGAGAACAAACTGTGGGCTGATGGGGGTGGGAGAGGAGAAGGGGAGTGATGGGCATGGAGGAGGGCACTTGGGATGAGCACTGGGTGTTATATGGGATCCAACTTGACAACTATGAAAGAAAATTAGGTAATAAAATGAAATAAAGATACGCAAATCAGAAAAAAAAGAATATTAATATGATGAGGGTTTAAAAAAATAAAAAAATAAACTGTGAAGAAAGGGGAGGAAATTAAAGAAACGGAAAAGCACAGAGTCATGTAGCTAGGGTGGCCAGGAGTTATTATGAAGAGGTAGAAGGAGCATTATCTGAAATTGGACAGAAGGTTGTAACACAAAACGTGGATGAGTGTGGTTGTATTTCCCTCCTGAGATGTGTGCATGTGTGTATTCTTACACAGCTCAGTTCAGCTGAGTGTACGCTCTTACAATTGTGCGTAAGCAAATGTCAAATTTATGTTACACTCAAATTGTTCCCTAATATATCAAATGCATCAGAATAAATTTGTGTTTGCAAAACAACTGTTATAGCAGAAGTGACTTTTTTCCACCATAAATTATCATGGTGGTTTTTTTTTTTTGTCTGTTTTGTCTTGTTTGGTTTTTAGGTATTACTAGTCTACCACAAATTATTAATCAAAAAATGTGAGCTTCACTATGATAGAAAGTTCAGCAGGTAAAACAGAGTTTTTTAATACTTTTAAAGTTTATTTATTTTTGAGAAAAAAAGATACAGAGCATGAGCAGTAGAGGGGCAGAGAGAGAGGGAGATACAGAATCTGAACAGTCTCCAGGCTCCAAGCTGTCAACACAGAGCCCAATGCAGGACTCAAACTCAAGAACCGTGAGATCATGACCTGAGCTGAAGTTGGATGCTTAACCAACTAAGCCACCCAGGGGCCCCTAAAGTACAGTTTTAAAAGCCAGTACATGTAAAGTCAAGGAGCTATGTTTAGAATAGTACATAGTAGATCAAAACAGGCCTGTGGAGACAGGCTGACTTGGGCTCAAATCTGGACTCAACCCTACACTTTTTGTGTGATCTTCCACAAGTTTATAACCTCTTTGAGCATTCACTTTTCAGTAAAAAGGCTTTTAACTGCATATACCTCCTAGGATGGTTATAAAAATTAAATGTGCTCAAGTACACAAAACTAGCATAGTATCTGGCCTGCAATAAGCATTTGTCAAATGCTACTTTCCTTTCTTCTCCATTTTACTGGGTGGATATTCTCCTTTGCGGTAGGACCCTCTTTGCCTACAACCCTCCCTAAGATCCCCAAAGGGAACACTCTATAAACTTATTTCTCCCTTTGTTTTATTTACAGGTTCAAGAATACAGAGAGGCTCTTGAAGCTGTCCTCATCAAGGGCAAAAATGGAGTCCCACTTTTGCCAGAGCTATACAGTGTTCCTCCAGACAAGGTGAGCTGGCCAAGTGCAGTGCTATAACACGGAGCTGAGAGAAGATGAGCAGTGCCTCCACAGGACTGCTTCATTTGAGCCAAACCATTTTTAATTTTCTGATTTTCATGTTCTAAAAATTTGTCTTTAGGTATAAGATGATAAAAATATTATTTAACTCCTTTGAAAATAAATTTTTAATGTTTATTTTCATTTTTGAGAGAGAGAGCATGATGGGGGAGGGACAGAGAGAGAGGGAGACAGAGGATCCAAAGCAGGCTTTGCACTGAGAGCAGAGAGCCTGATGCAGGGCCTCGAACTCACAAACCAGGAGATCATGACCTGATCCAAAGGTGGACACTTAACCAACTGAGCTACTCAGGCACCCCCAGAAGTTGCTTTATTTTTAAAGACCAAACCTTAAGGTTGAGAATGATATGGAGATCAGTAGGCAGAAGTAGAATGATGTTCTGTGTGAACTGTCAGGATTTGGTATTCTCTGTTTTGAGGCCGGTAATATGGGATTGTTTGAGTAGATCAGGCTTGGAAAATGAAGTATGTCTCCGTTTTTCCACCATGCCAGTCGGGAGTACCATTGTTCCTCTTTTTCATTACAAAGGAGCATTAGGCATGGGACGGTTGCAGTCTTCCATTCTGGGGGGGATGGATGGAATAAACTTCTAGTAACATCAGCAGCACCATCTGAAAGCTTTCTTTCATACCTTCTAGGTCAGAATCTGCCTTTGGATAAGATCCTCAGGTGATTTGTATGTACCTACATTTAGAGGAGCACTTCCTGGGGTGCCTTGGTGGCTCAATCAGCTAAGTGTCAGACCTCAGCTCAGGTCGTGATCTTGCGGTTCATGGGTTCGAGGCCTGCATTGGGCTCAGAGCCTGGAGCTACTTCGGACTCTGTGTCTCCCTCACTCTGCCCCTCCCTCATTTACACTCTGTCTCTGTCTCTCTCTTTCTCTCAAAAATAAACAAACGTTTAAAAAAATTTAGAGGAGCACTTCCTTAGATTGTAGTCATAGTGCTTGACTTTTTGGTGTATTGCATATGTAACTGGTTTATAGGGTATGAGTCACAATCCAGATTCAGCCCTTTTGTTATCCAGTATCTTTAACCTTCTATTACCTTTTGTGTGGCTTCTTTATCTTTTCTTTTAGGTTGATGAAGAATATCAAAATCCTCACACTGTGGACCGAGTCCCCATGGGCAAGTTGCCCCATATGTGGGGTCAGTCTCTCTACATCTTGGGAAGCTTGATGGCAGAGGTAAGGGGAAGCATCAAGGCTTTTTCACTTTTTTTCTGCTTAAGTCACTGTGAGAATCAGATTTGTGAGTAGCTAATTAAGTCTGGATATACCTTTTGCCTTTTATATTCTGCCTTAATTATATATGTTCCTCTAGGTCAGGTCCTGAGAGTGGGAATATGGCCAATCTTTGACAAAAATCTTTACCCCTGGCAATCATGTCTTTCATACTGCCTAGGGCTTACTACCTTGGCACTGTACTTGGAGCTGCTCTGAGATCGGTGCCTAGATCTTACTCTTTCAAAACACTCCCCTAGTGCCTTGCCTGGTGACTAATGAATGCACTTGTTCTCAGATAGTAATGTTGACTGATAATAGATTTAAGTACTAACTTTTCCAAGTAATATGATGTTTCATTATTTAATTGAGTAAGCTGATAAGATAATCTTGGGCAACATGACAAGTGTTTTGGAACATCACAGGTTTTTTTTTAATTTATTTCTTTAATTTGAGAGAGAGAGAGAGAGAGAGAAAGCAGGGAAGGGGCAGAGAGAGAGACAGAGAGAGAGAGGAAGAGAGAGAATCCCAAGCAGGCTCCTCACTGTCAGCACAGAGCCCAATGTGAGGCTCAGACTCACGAACTTTGAGATCATGACCTGAGCCAAGATCAAGAGTCCAACGTTAAACCAACTGTGCCACCCAGGTGCCGAGGAACATCATAGTTTTAAAAAATTTATTGTTTGTTTTTTTGTTAAGGGGCCCTTTAAATGTTTTTTTTTAATGTTAAATCCTGTTGAAACAGCTCTTTAATGTAGCACTTGCGAATTTTGTACTTTATATCCAGCTTATTTTTGATATTTTGAGCTGTCGTAAGGGTTCTCTTTCTCGAATTTTTCCAGATTTACTGGCAAATCTATTTCCCCATTGTTGGTTATTATGGTAAGCTACAACTGAGGCTCCTAGAAGACCTGAGGTGGGACTTAGCTATCCTTTCTGAGCCAGTCTTTTTGACCTGTTTATACATGACTATTTTCTATAGCTGTTTTTGTTCTATTTTTTTCCTCAGTTTCATTGACCTATAATTGACATACATCCATGTGAGTTTCAAGTGTACAGCATAAAGGTTTGATTATATTTAGTTGATATTATGAAGAAGGTAGCAATAATGAGAGAAAGATTTATTTAAAATAATCCTTACCTGATGACTTTCTCATTCGGTGCTATACATAAATTAAATGCTGTGAAAAAGGAGGAAATGAATGGTGTTTTTAAGGACAAAATGGGTGAATTTATCCCATTTCAGCAAGGACAAATTCAAGTCAAAAGATATCTGCTGAGCAGAAAGTATTCACATGAATAAATGAGAAAACAAGATTTAAATTATTGATAATCACTATGGTTTGATTATATACATCCAGAGAAGGTGGAGGTGTAACTAAAAAACTTTATGCTTATCATTATTGCCCATCTATTTCCAACAAAGAACTTGTGGCCACCACTAGAAGTTAATTCCAGATGAAATTAATTTGAATGTGAATTCAGAAGTTCAAACATTTTTTATATATAGTGAAGGTATTTGTTTTCTTTCCATACCTGCCTATCACATGTTATGATGTGAGGTTTTGGCACTGGTGTGTTGTTTCTCCTCAAACATTAGCTGTTTAATCCCCTGAAAGGCTGTAGTGGAAAAAGCATGAATTTAGGGAACTTGTACAAATAAATTATTTATCTGCCAAAGAAAAAATTAGCTTCTTGGTTGAGATGTAATAATCTATCTTTTTATGGTCTTTCTTTAGGGATTTTTAGCTCCTGGAGAAATTGATCCCCTGAATCGAAGGTTTTCTACTGTACCAAAGCCAGATGTTGTGGTTCAAGGTATGGATTCTTATTCCCAGCAGAAAAACTTTATATTAAAGATCTGTTTTGAACCAGTAAATGATGGCTTTATTGTTTATCATGTGTTTTGTTCAGCATCAAAAAGTATACAGTTAACTTGATTCTGTTTGGTTTCAAGATTGCTATTAATCTTAATCATGAACAAATGCTTAATAAATGATGTTATTTGACATTCTTAACCACTCCTTACTTCTAGGAAGTCTTTTCATCGTCATGATATTGTAGCCTCCTGATTATTTCCACTTTCTTTCTGAACATTCCCTGTGTGCTTTTTCTGTTAGTACTCCTTTCTTCTCATACCCTTTTAATGGTTGTGTACTTAGTCTTATACTATTGTCTTTCTGTATTTACACTCTATTAGTTTGCTAGTGTTGCCTCCTTCATAGTAAATTTGCTTCCATGATTCCAACTATTCCCTCATTGGAGAATACTGGAAACCTTTATTTTTTTATTCCTAACAATCAACGTAAATTTTGAAGTATCTACTCTATGTAAAACACTGGGCTAAACTCTATAGACATTTTCAGAATTCTAGCCCCAGTATCTATAAAACATCTTTACCACTTATAATTCTAATGCAAAACTGACCCCTTCTTTCTGCATTCTTTCACCATTCTTTCACCTTTCCCATGAAAAGCAGATCTTTCCACCTTCCTTATCTCTTTTAATGACCTCACTATCATTCTAGTTCCCTAGCTAGGGTAGAAAGCTTCAGGTGGTTTTTGACTCTCCAAGAACACAATCAAGTGTGGTACTAAGCTCCTATGAAATGTCTCCAGTCACTTGACTTTCAGGTTGACTCTATATGGGAAATAATCCTGTATAGTTTCCTCTTCCCTTCCCATGAGAAACTCTGTTCTCCTTTGAGGCTTATGCCAACTGGCTCTGTTGATCTCCTGGTTCTCTAATTCATTCACTTAACTTACAGCCTTCCTCCTCTTCCCCAACTCCTGCCATAGTGCTAGATCTCAGCATCACAGTAAGTGCCATCTGGCATTTCAGCCTCAAAATTCTTGGGTATCCATAACCCTAGGGACCTTTCTCTCCACCTCTATGTTACCCACTCATTTTGAGGACCAAACTTTAGAATGATCCCACCTCATATCTTCAATTCCAAAAAAACCCACTTTATGGTCATAGCTACATAGTATATCAGTGTTTTTTTTCTCCCTATGACATTTGTCTCTATTTTCTTCCAGTCTGTTCTTCCCTACCTATTTGTTGATCATCTAAAAAGCATAATCACCAGTACACTACAACTCTAACCCCACATTAGTCTTGCCATCTGCATTTTCTTTTTCTATTAGGCTTTTTATTTTAATTCAAGTATAGTTAACATTCAATGTTATATTAGGATCAGATGTACAATATAGTGGTTTAACAATTCTATACATTACTCAATGCTCATCATGGTAAGTGTACTCTTTAATCCCTATCACCTATTTCACCCATTCATCCACACTACTCCTCTGGTAACCATCAAATTATTTTCTATAGTTAAGAGGCTATTTCTTATTTTGTCCCTCACTCTCTTTTCTTCCTTTGCTTTTTGTTTTATTTTTTAAGTTTCACTATGAGTGGAATCATATGGTATTTGTCTTTCTCTGACTGGTTTATTTCACTTAGCATTATAGTCCCTAGCTCCATCCATGTTGTTGCAAATGGCAAGATTTCATCCTTTTTATGTCTGGATAATATTCCATTGTATATGTACATCACATCTTCTTTATCCATTCATCTGTCTGTGGACATTTGGGCTGCTTCCATAATCTAGCTTTTGTTGATAGTGCTGCTGTAAACATTGGGGTGTATGTGTTCCTTTGAATCAGTAGTTTTGTATCCTTTCAGTAAATACCTAGTAGTGCAATTGCTGGGTCAAAAGGCAGTCTTATTTTTAACTTTTTGAGGAACCTCCATACTGTTTCCCATAGTGGCTGTACCAGTTGGCATTCCCACCAACAGTGAAAGATGGATGCTTTTTCTTCACATCCTTGACAACTTGTTCCTTATGTTTTTGCTTTTAGCCACTCAGGCAGGTGTGAGGTGCTATCTCATTGTAATTTTGATTTGGATTTCCTTTTTTTTCCCTAAGTGATATATTTTTTTTATTTAATAGAATTTGTGGAAACTAATTTTTATTTTTTATTTTTTTAATTTTTTTAAATTATTATTTTTAAGTAGTTTATTGTCAAGTTGGTTTCCATATAACACCCAGTGCTCATCCCCACAAGTGCCCTCCTCCATGCCCATCACCCCCCTTCCCCTCCCCCCCACCCCCATCAGTCCTCAGTTTGTTCTCAGCATTCAAGTCTCTCATGGTTTGCCTCCCTCCCTCTCCCCCACTATTTTCCCCCCTTTGGATTTCCTTGATGATGAATGATTTTGAGCATCTTGTCATGTCTCTGTTGGCCATCTGTATGTCTTCTTTGAGAACTATCTGTTCATGTGTTCTGCCCATTTTTTTAATTGGATTATTTGTTTTTGGGGTGATCAATTGTATCAGTTCTTTATAGATTTTTGATACTAACCCTTTATCTGATATATCTTTTGCAAATATCTTCTCCCATTGAGTGGGTTTCCTTTTAGTCTTATTGATGTTTCCTTTGCTGTGCAGAAGCTTTTTATTTTGATGTAGTCCCAACAGTTTATTTTTGCTTTTATTTCCCTTGCCTCAGGAGACATGTCTAGAGTAGAGCTGCTATGGCCAATGTCAGAGAAATTATTGCCTATACTCTCTACTAGGATTTTTATGTTTTCAGGTCTCAGTTTAGGTCTTTAATCCATTTTGAGTTTGTTTTTTGTGTGTAGTGTAAGAAAATGATCTAGTTGCATTTTTTTGCATGTAGTTGTCCACCTTTCCCAGCACCATTTATTGAAGAGACTGTTTTTTTCCTGTTGGATTTTCTTTCCTCCCTTCTTGAGGATTAATTGACCATATAATTCCATTTATTTCTGAGTTTTCTATTCTGTTCTCTTGACCTGTGTGCCTGTTTTTATGTCAGTACCATACTGTTTTGATTGCTACAACTTTGTAATATCACTTGGAGTCTGGAATTGTGATACCTCCCATTTTGTTTTCCTTTTTTGAGATTGATTTGTCCATTTGGGACCTTTTGTGGTTCCATACACATTTTAGGATTGTTTATTCTAGTTCTCTGAAAAATACTGTTGGTATTTTGATAAGAATTGCATTAAATATTTAGATTGATTTGGGTAAACATTTGAACAATATTTGTTCTTCTAACCCATGAGCATGGAGTGTCTTTCCATTTCTTTGCATTGTCTTGTATTTCTTACATTAGTGTTTTATAGTTTTCAGAGTACAGATCTTTCACCTCTTTGGTTCAGTTTGTTCCTAGATATTTTATTGGATTTGGTGCAATTGTAAAAGGGACTGTTTTCTTAATTTCTCTTCCTGTAGCTTCATTACTAGTGTATAGGAATGCAACAGGTTTCTGTACATTGATTTTGTGTCCTGCAAATTGACTGAATTCATTTATCAATTCTAGTAGTTTTTTGGTGGAATTTTTAGGGTTTTCTATATAGAGCATCATGCCATCTGCAAATAGTGAAAATTGTATTTCTTTTCTATCAATTTGGATGCCTTTTATTTCTTTTTATTGTCTGATTGCTATGGCTAGGCAAATGTCCATCAACTGCTGAATGGATCAAGAAGATGTGGTATATATATACAGTAGAACATTACTCAGCCATTAAAATGAATGAAACCTTGCCATTTGCAACAACATGGATGGAATTAGAGTGTATTATGTTAAGCAATTTCACTCATATGCGGAATTTAAGAAACAAAATAGGTGAACATAGGGGAAGGGACGGGAAAAAAATAAGATAAAAAAAGAGACAGAGGCAAATCACAAGAGACTGAGACTCTTCTTCACTGTAGAGAACAAGCTGAGTGTGGGGGAATGGGCTAAATGGGTGGTATTAAGGAGGGTGCTTGTTGTGATGAGAACTGGGTGTTATATGTAAATGATGAATCACTAAATTCTACTCCTGAAACCAATACCATATGTTAACTAACTTGATTTAAACAAAATCTTGGGAGGGAAAAAAAATAAAGTCTATATTGTTTGATAGTAAAAAAAATGATTGCTATGGCTAGGAATTCCAGCACTATATTGAATAAAAGTGGTGAGAGTAGATATCCTTGGCTTGTTCCTGCTTAGAGGGAAAGCTCTGGGTTTTCCCCATGAAGGATGATATTAGCTGTGGGTCTTTCATATAAGGCCTTTATTATGTTGATGTATGCTCCCTCTAAAACTACTTTGTTGAGGGTTTTATCATGAACAGTTGCGGTACTTTGTTAGATGCTTTTTCTGTGTCTCTTGAAATTATCATATGGTTCTTGTCTTTTCTCTTATTGATGTGATGTATCACATTGATTGATTTGCAAATATTGAACCACTCTTGCATCCCAGGAATAAATCCCACATGACCATGGTGAATTTTTTAAAATTATGTATTTATTTTTTTAATTTACATCCAAGTTAGCATATAGTGCAACAATTTCAGGTGTAGATTCCTTAATGCCCCTTACCCACTTAGCCCATCCTGCCTCCCACAATCTATCCAGCAACCCTCTGTTTCTTCTCTATATTAAAGAGTCCCATGTTTTGTCTGCCTCCCTGTTTTTATATTATTTTTGCTTCCCTTCCCTTATGTTCATCTGTTTTGTTTCTTAAAGCCCTCGAGGCTCCTGGGTGGCTCAGTCAGTCCGAATTCGGCTCAGGTCATGATCTCACAGTTCGTGGGTTCAAGTCCCACATCAGGCTCTGTGCTGACAACTTAGAGCCTGGAGCCTGTTTCGGATTCTGTGTCTCCCTCTCTCTGTGCCCCTCCCCCACTCATGCTGTGTTTCTCTCTGTCTCACATTAAAATTTTTTTAAAAGTCCTCATATGAGTGAAGTCATATGATATTTGTCTTTCTCTAACTGACTAATTTTGCTTAGCATAATACCCTCTAGTTCCATTCACGCAGTTGCAAATAGAAGGATTTCATTCTTTTTTATTGCTG